AATAAAAAAGAAAATGGTTCTATTGCACATAAGTGTTTATTACTATGAGTGGAGTCACAGGTGAAAGGTAAGAGAGAGTGCGTGAGCAGAGTTAAGGTCAAGGCTCATGGTGAATTGAAGCGAGAACTAGAGAGTTGAAGGAAAGTACTGGAGGGCTTTAGTTCATACTGGTGCTGTTGGTAGAATGTGATGAAAAGCATTTTGGAACAGAGTATTGTGTGGGAGCCCAGAGTTTGAGGGGATAATCAGCAGCAGAGTGGGAAAGGCTGGAGAGAGCAGAGCCACAGGAAATGAAGGTCAGCTTCATGGGTGGCACTTTGTGCCTCTGCTTTCTCAGTTGCCAACGGCAGCTGCTTCTGCTTGTGCTGCTACTGTTGCTGAGGGATCCAGAGGGAGCTCTGGGTGGCGGAAGAGCAGGTTCAGGAGATGTTTAGTTCTAGGAAATGAAGTGGGGTTTTCTGGGATGCCAGGAAAGGTTTAGCTCCAGGCATATACTTGGTTCTTTGTGTTAGAACACAGATTTTGTTTCCATTCAGGTTCTGTTTTCATGTTGAGTGTTGGAAAAGCATCAGGATTGCTTCTCACTGCCCCTTTCCACACTGTAGGATAGCATGCAGTACCTCCCATCTAGGTAGCTACACTCAGTCGTTTGCTGTTTTAAATCCGTATCACTCATGTCTAGTTCCAGTATGTATGTTAAAGTTGAGTTGGTAAACACTCGGCATATGGTTGTATACCATTTCTGATGGTTAGCATATGGTTCACATGTGTGTGCCAGATCTAGGCAGACTGTTGCCTCTTTTTATCTTACTTCACTGTAAGTAAAGTAGCTTTCAGTTATTTGCATGTGTGTAATAAAAATGTCATGACTGTGCCTTTTTGAGCTATATCTCTGTCTTGGCATCTCTTGAGGCCTTCTTGTGGGCAGAGTCCTTGGCCTTACATTTCTGCCTGCTGGACCTGTTAGACCCTGCCGCCCACTAGGCCATAGGCTTATGGTGAGAGCTTACCTAGGAGAGATTGTCTGATGGAGATGGGGTGGTGGGTAGGCCCTTTCTGTCGGAGAGGGATTGCTTGGAGTGGCATCTGTCAATTCAGGAGTTGGAAAGATTACAGACAGCAACGCCTAAAAGGCTGGAAATAGTCTCAGCATTTATGAACATTACTTTTTTTGTGGTACTTGAGGAATCAGTAACTTTTAGTGTCTGAAATGTGAATATTGTGCTTGCTTCTCATTTTAGCAAGATGAAGATCTTCCAGAAGGAGCCACTGTTCCTGCATTGGGACTATCAAATAAAGCTGTCTATCAGGGTAAGGATTTAGTCTCCAAAATTATTGAATGCCTCTATTACTTAAAACTTAGTTACAGACTTATGTAATATGCACCCGATGCTCCCTTAGGCCTGTTTTTAAGCTTCATGCTTTGTAATAGCTGCTCTGTTTACATGTAGGCCACTGATCCAGGGTTTCACAGAGCGCTCCAATCACTGGAGAGATTGTGAGCAACTTGCAGGCTCAGCTATATATGCAAAGACAAACAAACAAACAAAACTTGTGAATATCTAGGTGAAAGAAAATGGACAGAATCTTTATTGGAATTCAGTCCTATTCAGGAGCTAGTTTGGAAAATATCTTTGTAGTCTCATGGACACAGCTCTGAAACACACTATTTGAAAAGGCCTGCTTCTCTCTGATATGTGGCTTTGAGACATTGTCATAGCAACTGCATTCATGGTGTCTGTTTTTCTCTAGGAGACATGGCCTTTCAGACTTCTGAGGAGGAGGTGCTCTTAACTAGCCCTGCCTTCGCGTACCCAGAGGTGACTTTTCAGCCTGCCGTCCTTAACGGTAAGAAGTGACAAGAGACAAGTTAATGAAATCTGTAGTACAGTCTACTCTGTGGCTGTGGCCCTGAAGTAGAGCCATGGCTTTCACTTTCTGTTTGGCTAAAAATAGAAAACAACTATAGTATTCAAACCTTATAGAATTTAAAATGTCTTGTAGAACCTCCAACTGAGGATCATCTTCTGCAGAACACATTGTGGCCTGAAGTTCAGAAACTGTAAGTTGAAATTTCTTTTTAGAGTCAGTCATAGGTCCCCTTATAACAACTTTCTCTTTCCCCTTCCTCCTGCCTACATTTTTCTCCTACCCAGCATAGCTTCATAGGGGTGAGAATCAGACCTCCCGTGGTTTTTTTATTTTATTTTATTTTATTTGTTGTTGTTTTGTTTTGTTTTTTTACATTGTTGTTTATTATGTGTATTAGTTGTTTGGTGTTAATTTCAAAGATAGAGAGACATAACATAGTTTATGCTTCTGTTTGTTACTCAGCTGCTCATCTTTATCTGTGTTGGTTTCCATCAACATCTTCCATGGTGGTTTATTGGACTGGTGGGCATTAGACATGAAAACCTGTGTAGAAGTACATTTTCTTGGGAAGCTATCGTTTTTCTCTGGTTTCCTGCTTTTTCCCTAAATAGTTACCTAGGCAAAGTGTGATACTCATTTAAAGAATTGTGTATTAGGTTGAAGGAATGATCCTTTTCACTTTAAGTTTCATGCAGTGTAAGAATAAGTACATTAGTAATACAGAAGGCATATTTTTTTCCCTTTAAATTTTAGGTATGGACATGGCTATGAGATATTCTGTGTTACTTGTAACAATTCAAAAACTCTACTTGCCTCTGCTTGCAAGGTAGGTGTTTGTGGTGTATGTGTGTGTTTACTTTGGTCACAGGTAATTGGAGTCATTGGGCTTTTGCAATTCAGCAGATATAGACAGAATTCACATGAAATGAGCCCTTCAGGTACCATCGCCTGAATCTCTTACATTCTCGTCTCCTCAGCTCTCTTTAGAAACATTTTAAACTGTTTTGGAACTCATTTATTCTTAATGTTGATCTTTAACAGTTTCGGTTTGGGGGTGATGGTCCCTATGTGCGCACAACACACGCAAATATGCATATGACCTTACCAGTGCTTACATCACTGAAGACAATGTCCTCTGCAGCAGGGAAGCTCACCAGGTCTCTTATTTACAGGGGTGTGCAGTGGCTGCAACAGCACCCTCCTTGCGAAAGTGAGCCTGGTGCTTGGGTTGTCATAAGGGATCTTTCCAACTTGGATTGGAAACAGTTTGATGGCATATTTGCATGTTTTGGATCTCATGTTGTTCCCAGTCTAGACTCCAGACTGAATGAGGATGCCTTTTAGAAGCTCCAGAGCCCAGTGGCCGTGGGTCATGTTGGCCAGGCCATCATATCTAGCTACACCAAGCTGCAGAGTAAAGAGCATGTGATTGAGGCCCCGTGTAAGACCATGTTCAAGTTCCCTGTCTACTACCAGATCCATGTTGCAAAGAACTTCAGCTTCCCCGTATTTAAAGCAGATGAACTTAATCGTGTATCTTAAATGTGGCTCATCCCTGATGGCTGTGTGGTAATGGACAAAGGGCTGTTTTCTGCTGAAGGCTGCTGCTATGCTGAACCTGCCCCCTCCCTCCAGTCATGTTCAGTAGTAATTATCATATCCTGCTCACCTTGAAAGAAAGAAAAGGGGGTTGGGGATTTAGCTCAGTGGTAGAGCACTTGCAAGCGCTCGGCCCTGGGTTTGGTCCTCACCTCTAAGAAGAAAGACAAAAATAACAGAAAGAAAGAAAAATTCCTCAGCAGCCATTTAAGGCCTATAGCTCGTAAGGGGTGGGGCCTTGTGAGTTCCTCCTGCCAAGTGTTATTTTTATAAAGTATCTTTAAGTTAGGAAAGTAATTGTTGTCCAACTTTATTCTTTTCTGGGTTATTTTATTTTTGTGTGATTTTAGAATCAGCTTCAGTTTCTACAGAAAGTATTTCCAGTCTCTTTGGTGGTGGCAATGAATCTGTAGATAAATTTGGGAGGATTTTAACAATATCTGAATTACTCCCCTACTTTATATAAGTCTTTAATTTCCCCTAGGGATACGCTTTTAGAGTAATGTTAGATTTAAAGAAAAATAGCAGTCATTGTCTAAGATATCCGTGTACCTCATTCAGCTTTCTCTGCTGTTCACATAGTACCTGGAAAATGTGTAGTTTTTGGTGTCTGGTCTCACACATTTTGTGAGTTTTTTCCTTTTCCATATGTTTTATTTATAATATATATATGTATAATTATATATATTATATATGTGTAATATGTATTTATATTTATATTTATAATATATATGTATAATTATATATATTATATATGTGTTATATATATATTTATTTATATTTATATATATATTTATTTTTTTGAAACAAGGAAATTCACTTTTTATACCAGGCTAGCCTTAAACTCATTGAGATCTGCCTGCCTCTACTTTTCAAGTACTGGGACTAAAGGCAGGTGCTACCATGCCGAGGATATTGGATGAATTTTAATTTTTAGAGCCAACCCCACTTTACAACGTATTTTCTTTATATATTATCCAACTCAGTTCGATGGAAGTTTGTTAAGAACTTTATCAAGGACTGTTGACATGCTCAGTAGGTAAGGTGCACCATTAGGTCTGAGCTTGATCGCTACATCCACGGAGTGGCAGAGAACCAGCTCTTGCAAGTTATCTTCTTACTTCCACAGTTGATTTCTCTCTCCCCATACATACATGCACACACATGAGAAATAAGTAAAGGTAAAAAAAAAATTTTTTTTTAAGTGATGATTCACACCTGTAATCTCTATGCTTGGAAGGTAGAGTCAGGAAGAGTAGGAACTCAACAGCTTTGAAGCCAGAAAACTTAGAGCAAACAGCAGCAGCAAACCAGTGGTAGTTTCCTTTGGTATTTAGGTATGAGCAGTTTGAACTTCATGGAAGTTTCTCCTATTCTACAATTCTCTTGATATAGCTTATAAAACTGTTACTTTTTTTTTCTAAGATTTTTATTTTTGTTTTATGTGCATGAATGTTTGCCTGAATGTATGTCTGTATGCATATACTTGCATGCCTGTGGAGGCCTGAAGAGGATGTTGGATCTCTTGGTTCTAGAGTTAGAAGCAGTTGTGAATTCTGGGAACTGAATCAGAAGAGTAACCAGTCTTCTTGGCCACTGAGCCATCTCTTCAGGCCTCTCCAATATTTTTATAAAACCTTCATAGATTTTTCTGGGAAGACAATTAATGGAGGTGGGTTTTTTTATGGCAAAGGTATTAACTTAGTTTTAAACTAAAGTTTAAAACCAAGGTTTACTTAATTGGTGTTCTGTTTCTGTGAAGAGACAGTATGACCAAGGCAACTCTTACAAAAGAAGGCCTTTAATTGGGGCTTCCTTACAGTTTCAGAGGGTTAGTCCATTTTTGTCAAGGTGGGGAGCATGGTGGTTGCAGGCAGACATGGTGCTGGAGGAGAAGCTTAGAGTTCTGTATCTGGATCCATAGGCAGCAAGAAAAGAAAGATACTGGGACTGGCTTGGATCCTTGAAACCTCAGAGCTCACTCCCAGTGACACACTTCCTCCAACAGGGCCACACCTCCTAAACCTTCCAAATAGTGCTACTTCCTAGTGACCAGGTATCTAGATCTATGAGCCTGTGGGGGCCATTCTCATTCAAACCACCACACTACGTATGAATCTTTTAATGGGTGCTAAATAAGGCTGTTTTAAGTGACACAGTTATCCCTTAGGATCATTTCAGTAGCTGCAGAATCACCAGTGATGTTGTTTTTTCTATTGTGGTAAAAACCATGACCAAGGCAACTATAGAAGGAAGAGTTTATGTGGGCTTATAGTTTCAGAAGGATAAGAGTCCATCAACATCACGGGAGGCATGGTGATAGAACAGCTCACATCAAACCAGGAAGAGAAATGGGGACAGTCCTTTGAAACCTCAGAACCCTCCCCCAGTGGGATACTTCCTCGAGCAAGGCCATACCTTCTAAGCCTTCCCAGTCACCAGCTGAGTACCAAGTAGTCAAATAGTCAAGTAGACTGTGGGGGACATCTCATGTAAACCACCAGATGGCATCTTTTTATTCTTTCTACTGGAAATACCTCTCCTTGCCCAGTCCTTTTGTGCACACATTGCACATGGGTCCCTTGTGAGTTGTCTTTTCTAATCCTACTTATCTCTACCTTTTCCTAGAAATTAGGAAAAGGTAACCTGTGTGTAACCTCCCTGGAGTTTTCTGGAGGCTTTTGTGGAGATATACAAATAGATACATTCAAATAGACCCACAGAAACAGCATGCTATGTTAAGTGTGTTCTTTTGGTTGGTTTCTGCTTCCATGCGTCAGTGTCTTACCTCTGTCCTGCAGGCAGCCCAGAAGGAGCACGCAGCCATCATACTCTGGAGCACAGCATCTTGGAAACAAATGCAGAGCCTTGCTTTCCACACTCTGACTGTCACACAGATGGCCTTCTCACCTGATGACAAGTTCTTACTGGCTGTTTCCAGAGATCGAACCTGGTCTTTATGGAAGAGACAGCATGCAGCCTCCCCCGAGTTTGGTAAAGCAGCCTGTGTAGTGAAGTTGTCTGTCCACATTTAGCAGTTGTGAAATCAAGAGAAAGGTGACAGGATGGAGACAGCCTCCTGCCTCTGAAGTTCAGTGTTCCTGGGCAACTGGGGAACACTTGGCTTTTCTTTTTTCTAAAGTATTTATTATTTATTTTATGGAGTGGGCATAGTCAGAGATAGATCATTCCTCATAGCCCCACAGTACAGACTGTATTTCAGATTTTGAATTTTGATCTTCTCCTGAGCTTTGCCATATGTTATGAGGGGTGGGTGGTGGACCCACAGCTGTCACAGTGAAAGCCACTACTCCACAGCAGTGTGTAAGCTGCAGGGACATCAGTAGACCAGGTGTATTAGGTGTATTTTTGATACAATAGTATTTCAATCCATGATCCATTTGTCAGGATGTAATGCCACATCCTGACTCCTGACAATTTGGATTTCGAGAAATCAATTTGGAGTTTTCCTTTGACATCACTTGTGACTTCCTGACTTACAGCACTTCATTTCAAAGTTGGAGTGCTAGACCACTGAGATGGCTCAGCAGGTACAGGCACTTGCCACCAAGCCTGAAGACTAGGCTCAGTCACTGGAATGCACATGTGGAAGGACAGAGCCAAGTCCTGCACACTGTTCTTTCACAAGCACTCCTGTATGCATGTGTGTGTATACATGTACATACACACCCACTACATAAATAAACAAATGTTAAAAATAAACACAAAAATAAAAGTTGAAGTACTATAAATAACATAGGTGTTAATTTGTTGTAGCTTTTTGGGTTATGGATTGATAAATTTATTCTCTATAAGCAGTTATATAGTCCATATAAAGCTTAGAAGTTATCTTTAAGCCTTCTGCTTATGTATTATGAGAAAAATACGCTTTCCCTTCTCTCTTTGTAGTATTTTTTCAGGGCCTGGAGAGATGGTTTAGTGGCTAAGAGCACCATCTGTTCTTCCAAAGGACCTGGGTTCAATTCCCAGCACCCACATGGCAGCTCACAACTGTCTAATGCCAAATCCAAGGGATCTGACACCTTTACACTAATGCACATTTACAAAAAAAGGTGGGGGGAATATGATTTATAGTATTTTTTCCTTAATACACAGATCTAGATACTTCTGGAGTACAGTAAAATCACCCCAGACTTGTTTTAGATCGTAAATTAGCCTTTAGTTGACTGCCTGAGAGATTTCTGTTGCCAGGCACCAGAGAGTGAGGAGGCAACATGAGCCATGTGCACCTAGTCTTGAGGCTGGCAAGGGCTGGGTTGCTGGCCTCTGCTGCAGAGTGGGTGCCCGGTAGATCATGCTGCAGGTGAGAAGAGGAGGTGCCAGTCCTGCTTTGTGAGCGATGTATGTGTTTTGTTTTGTTTTTTCAGACCCATTTTTCACTCTCTTTGCATTCACCAACACCGTCACTTCTGTGCACAGTAGAATCATTTGGTCTTGTTCCTGGAGTCCTGATAGCAAATATTTCTTCACTGGAAGTCGAGACAAAAAGGTATTTTTTTTTTCCAATCAAAGATAAAATTATTTTTAAAAATGTAAAAGAATGTTTTTGCAGTTATGTTTAACAGCAGATTTTTCTGCCTTTCTGATAGTTGTTTACAAATTTGTTCATGGCTTCCCCGTGTACACTGAATGTTTTTCTTGTTAAACTCTACAACTATATTTCTCTGAAACATGAAGAGAAGACCCTTTGGCAAGTGTCTGTCATCACGTAGCCCCAGAGCAAGATGAAACAGCAGAACCCAGAAGAGCAGGAGGGGCTGGAAATAGCACTTCTTGTTTTTGATACTCTCATGAAAATGAGCTTTATTTGTGGCTGTTAAGCTAGTCCAAAGGATGATATCCAATTCATTAGTGCTGGGTTCAGGTACAGCACCTTACTTGGGATTTGTTTTTTTCATTCTGGTTTTATTTTTAACACAGGCACTGGGAATCAAACACAGGTTCTCCTGTTTGTGTGGCAACCCTTTAAAGGCTCAACTGTCTCCCAGCTCCCATTTTTCAGTAGTAAAGGTTATGACCTTTTAATTCAGTGACAGAGAGGGGCAGAACATGACCGAAGGTTGAAAAACTTAGGAAATCAGGCAGCACTCTGAAACTCACCCTTCCCCTTGTTACCTGAGGCCTGCCCTTGGCTCCTTCTCGTCCCTCTGGTTTTGTGTTCTTTAAAACTTTATCTTTTCTAAGTCTCCTAGTCCAGGATGACTAGCATGGTATTGTGTCTCTTTTCATAACCCTTCCCTTTCTGGTGATAGAAATCCAGGTAAGTGGTGGCACTCAGATTAAACATGTCAGTGTGGGCCTGCCAGCATCATTCTCCCAGACTGGAAGCTTGTCCCTTGCTGGTGTTGAGCATAGATCCCTTGCTGAGCTTGATCTGCCTAGCTCTTGGGATATAGTGTCTAAACAGACCAAGTGCATTTGCTGCAGTTTCAGTAATGTGTGCTTCCCAGAGCCTCTCTTCAGAATCATGTGTTGGTCCTGCATCTGCAGCTTTCCATTTTGCTTCCTTCTCCATTTCTTTGTGGCTAGTCAGGCACCCGTGAGCCGTGGTCTTCCACAAGGGAAGCCTTGTGTCTTGTGTAGAGTATATTGTTAAAGTTCTATCCTCCTGATAGCCAAGTTGACTTCCTGAGCACTAAGTAGTGTAGAAGACTGGCTTCCTCTCCAACAAATATGTGGTGAGTTCTGAGGGTGGCACCTGCAACCAGGACATGACGTGTGGGATTTTACCTCGTTAGAACCATGTTGTGTGCTACGGAGCATAATAAACAACACTCTGTGCTCTCTGGGTACACTTCTGTGTCTGAGCTCTCAACCTGTGTCTGCACACTGTGGCTTTTCTGTGACATTTAAAAGCCTCAGAACAGATTGTTTTCATTGGCTCCTAGGACCAGAGTATAGCACTAGAACCCTTGCAGAGAATGCCTCACAGTGTGATTTGTGTTCTAGGTGGTTGTGTGGGGCGAGTGTAACTCCAGCCATAACCCCATGGAGCACCCCATCGGCCCCTGCTCCTCCGTCCTGGATGTGGGCAGTTCTGTGATGGCTGTCAGTGTCTGCCCTGTGCTGAACCTGGCCCAGAGGTTAGTTTCTGTGGGATTTGGTTGTTCAGTAGCATCTCAATTTTTGTTTTGTTTTGGTGTGTTTTGTTTAGTTGCTGCTGCTTTCAAAGTGCTTATACTTATGAAAAATTTGCAATCTTGGAATTCCATGATTGGTGCTTAAATGGGAATAGGAACAAAGTTTCTTATTTCAGACTATATGCTGCCTTGCTTTCTGTCACAGGCAGCCTAGGGAAACAGGGGTCAGTGCAGCCTGCTGGAAAAACACTAGCTTGAGGGCTTTGGCAGCTTAGGACAGATGGACCTGCCTGCATCCTCTGCAGAGAAGAGACTGGGGACACAGCAGAGCAGTGCAGGGTGGGCGACTGAGACACTATAAGGGAGCACTCGAGCAAGTGGAGGTAGGAGAAAGTCATGCTCAACCAACCTCTGTCATCTCCCTGCCTTGAAAACAGGTATGTGGTTGCAGTTGGATTAGAGAGTGGGAAGATTTGTATATACTCCTGGAACAAGACCAATCAAGAAATCAATGACTGGACCTGCTGTGTAGAAACAACTCTAAGGTATGTTCTTCCTACTTTGCTTCCAGCTGATTAGATAGAAACAGTGGTGGGTTTTGGTGGCAATTTTTATGAACATTTTTATGGAGAGAGACAGAAATCTCTGTTTTACTGACAGTCAAGTAGTACCTCCTTGCTAGTAAGTGGGACTCAGCTTTTGGTTTGCTCTACTAGATTGCTGGGTTTTGTCATGCTGCTTTTACAGACATTATCCATGGCTGCCTCACCTTGCCTCTCTTCTCTGTTCTTTCCTTTTTTGAGCTGGGGTCTCATGACTGATCTTCCTCCATCTCCTGAGCTCTGGGATCACAGGCCTGCACCCATCACAGCCGTTTTTTTAATGTGCTGGGGATGGAACCTAGGGCTTCGTGAATTCTAGGCAGGCTTTCTACCAGCTAGCCACCCCCAGTCCCAGCAGAGGCCACTTTAATTTGCTTTGTGGCACATGTTATTGTTTCTGAATGCCTAAGCTTTTCAGTAAGTCATTATTTTTCTGTGCTCATTTTCTTGGGCTTTTCGATCTTCAAGTTCCTACTATTTAAACATAATTTCAAATACTGTTCTAATTGCTAGTGTCGTGATGAGCATGAGAGATTAGAGAGAGCAGGCCTTTCACATCCCTGTGAGTGTGTTAGTGCTCATTGTAACTGTTGGTTAAATTGTGTGCCCGCTTTGTTATTGCTGTTGAAGTAGCTCCTGCTCAGCTTGCTCTGAGTGCCTATGACATTCCATCTTCCAGCATCTGACCTTCTCGCTCTTGCCCTCCACTTTCCTTTACTGCCTCCTGCCTTGTCTGTACGCGATGCTCTGCCCCTGGTTTGGTACTTAGATTTGTACCATGGCCTCAGTGTGAGAAGCCAGTGAGCATAGGAAAATGTGCAGAGTTCAAGGTTTTCATTTGACGATTCTTTCTTTGTCGTTGTAATGACAGGCAGTTTGTAACCTGAAAATAATTCTTGATTAAATACATTGAATTATTTAAATAGCTGCTATTTTAATTACTAAATTTTAACTTTTTGCTAGTAATGCATTCACAGAAATGTAAGCAGGAGTTTCAGATTGGCTTCCTAAGGGCCATGTCTTGTAATTAACTGATTAATTTTGTGGTGCTGGGGATTCAGCCAAGGGCCTTGAGCATGCTGGGGTGTACTCTACCGCTGAGTTACATCCCCAGCCTCCAAATCTGTTATCTTTCCTCTGCCCTCTTTATCTACCTCCTCCCCTGCCCTTTATGTGTATGTGTGTGTCTTTTTGAGACAATTCTACTGTATAGGTCTGCTTTGGCCTAGAACTTGATATGTAGACCATCCTGGACTTGAACTTGCAACCATCCTCCTGCCACTGACTCCCAAGTGCTGAGATGAACACCTGCTTGGCTCTCTGTATTATGTCTGTGCATGTGCACCTGTGTGTGTGTGTGTTCAGACATGTGCCCATCTCCTTGTACATGTTCAGAGGTCTGAAGAGGACATCATGGTCCTGTTCTTCTGTGCCATGTTTACTTGAGGTAGGGTTTCTGGTTGAATCGAGCTAGGCAGGTGGCCAGCAGGCCCCAGCAGTCTTGCTGTATCTCCAGTCCACACAGCACTGGGGTTCCAGGTATATGTAGCTAGTTTGCCTTTTTACGTGGGTCCTAAGGACTTAAACTCTGGTTATCCTGTTTGAATGTTGAGCCATTTCTCCAGGTCTCTACATATCTTTTAAATATGATGTGTTAACATTCGAGATTTAAAGGAAGTAATAAAACAAACAAAAACAGAAAACAACAAAAACACATCCAAACAAACAAATGAACAAAAAAAGGACCCCCAAACCCATTCTTTTATTTATGTAAATCAATAAGTTCTGCCCTTCAGAACGGCCTCCTGGAACACATGCACTATTGATCGATCACCACTTCCAACAATTTGTTGACTAGGAAGAGAGAAGCATGTTTAATGAATGCTGATAGTGCCCAGGGCCCTCTGCTGATGTTGCTGGCTTAACACTACTTTTGGAACTTCTCTTTCAAAACTATGTCCCAGGGCCTGAAGAGATAGCGCAGAGGCACTGGCTGTTCTTTCAAAGGTTCTGAGTTAATTACCAGCCACCACCTGGTGGCTCACAACCATGTATAATGACATATGGTGCCTTCTTCTGGCGTATAGGCACACATGCAGGCAGAATATTGTATAAACAAATAAATAAATCTTTAAAATAACAAAAACTATGTCCCAAACCTTGATAACTTGTGATATGAGAAAAACCAATAACAATGTTTTTCTAGAGTTGCTCAATTAGATTTTGCCTTTTTAAAACTCAGCTCCCATATTTATAGAGCTTGCTCTTCATAGTGAATCTCCCATTTCTATTTATGTAAAATGTTTCTGCCCAAGTGACTTATGGCTGCTTTAATATTCAGATTCCTCCTTATGGAGAGATGAGCTCTCATTAAGCACAGTCATGGTCTGTATAACATGGAAGCATTTCCTCAGGAAACATTGCATACGACAGCATGTTTTTGTAAGCTGTGATATCTTGGGTCTACTCTGAGTTGCACATGACTCCCTGTGCTGAAACAGATCAGGCTTATTAGCATGCGCTTGTATGGGGAAAACAGACCTTTAAGGGAGCCTCAGGCGGCCCTCACTCTCTGAAATATGAGGTGAACAGCTGACATGTGGCTAGCTGCCTAACCATCTCCTGCGCTCTTTTGAAAAACCCCAGTAAACTCTGTGGCTTACTAAGCTTGACTGGGCTGGGTCCTGTCTGCACTCTCTGTCTAAGCAAAAGGTCCTCCTTCTGTACCAGAAAAGCTCACACTCACTAAGGGCCTGTGTTTTCAAACCCTGTTCTCCAGACTTGCACCTCATTCTCATCCTGGCATGTCTGAAAGAGACCTGTGCCTTGTGCTCTCTCTCAGTGTTTCTGCCTCAAAACCTACCAGAGTTTTGTTTGCTCTTGGCTTTATTCATTTTGAGCACATGTTTACACATGTCAACAAGGAACGTGTCGTAGATTCTCCAAGAGCTATTGCTAATCTGTTTGGTAGCATTTTGGTTCTGCCTTTTGGGGGACCCTAGGGAACAAGAGCCTCTAATATAGTTTATTATCTTGTCTGATGCCCTGCAGTTAGGTCACCCTGAGATCATGGCTCTCGCTGTGTGGCTCACTGAGGGTTTTACTTTACTCAGCAGTAAAAATATTAAAGCCCGTTTATTTCTTGGCAGTGTCAGCACAACAAAATTACAAAATTGAACTACATTCAGTAATCTTGAAATTATTAAATAATTGAATTAAATCTTGCATTACAATGTTATCTTAAAAGATTAGCTTTTGAGAAATTTTACATTTGCTTATGTGAGCATGTGCATGCAATGGTGTGAGTGGAGGTCAGAGGTCAACTTGCAGGAGTCAGGTTCTCACAAGCATTGAACTAAGGTTGACTGGCTTGGTAGAAATGCCTTTACCTACTGAGCTATCTTACTGGCTTCAGAAAGATTAGCTTTCCAGTTAGTCATTTCAGTCATTCTACTGATGATTAAAACATTTGACAGAAATGTATTATTTCTTGTTCCTTTGGACATTGTCATTGGCCAGTGAATAAGATATTAGTCTGTTTTGAAGTTAAAAGAGATATTTTCAATATAGGATTAAAATTACTAGAATATTAATTAGACTTCTAGTCATGTTATAACAGCTGTAAGGATGCCCTGGTTACATGTGTAGTTCCTGTGTAGGTGAACTCCAGTGGGGTGTTCTGCAGTCATGACTTTCATATGATTTTCCTATCTTTCTTGCAGCCAAAGTCACACACTTGGTATCAGAAGGTTATGCTGGAAGAACTGCAATGGGAGCACTGAGCAGAGTAAAGAGGGCTTTGAGTGGTTGTACTTTGCAAGCTGTGGCGAAGATCACACCGTCAAGATTTACAGGGTTAACAGATGTGCACTGTGAAAGACTTGACCACACCCCACTGTCCTGATGTGTCTTAATGTGTTTGTTATGTAAATAGATCACCTTTCTTAACCTTCTTATTGACTGAGTTTCCCTATCTGGATCTCAGTCTTTGACTATCCGAAAAAGTCTGTGAACATACTCTCTACATGTGCTTTAAAATTTTTTCTAATGATATTTTATGTGTGGGGGTGTTCTGTTTGTATGCATGCCTTGTGTATATAACGTGTGTGTGCTTAGTGACAGCAAAGGCCAGAAGAGGATGTCGGATCCCCTGGAATTGGAGTTACAGATGGTTGTGAACACACATGGTTGTGTGTATTGAGAATAGAGTCTGGGTCCCCTGCCAAAATAGCCAATGCTCTGTCTTTTTATTTTTTAATTGAAAACATTTTATCTTACAATGTATTCTCATCATGGTTTCCCTCTCAGATCCTCTCCACCTTCCCACCCACCCAACTCTCTCTCTCTCTTTATAAAAAATTCTCTTTCTTTATAAAACAGACCAAAAAAATCATAATTTTTAAAAAGAAGAAAAATAAAATCCATAAAGACGTAAAATTGGAAACCATAATATATAAACAAAAGACCAGTAAGACAAAAATCTGACAAAGCAAAGCAATATGAGGGAAAAAGTCTACAAATCAAGTTCATTTTATGTTGGCATCTACAGCTGCTGCTTCACATGGGGCCTACTCTTGAGTGGGCTTCATCTATCCAGTGAGACTCCTTTAGAGAAAACATTTTCCACCGCAAGCAGATGTCAATTGGAGATAGCTTCTCGATTAGGAATGGGAGCTAATGTCCATTTCCCCTCCCAAAAATGAGACTTGAACTGACTTGAACCTGTGCACGCCCCATGCTTGCTGTCCCAGTCTCTTGAGTTCATGTTTGTGCACTATTGTGTCTGGAAGACACTATTTCCTTGTCTGTCTTAGTCAATGTTCTATTGCTGTGAGGGGCTACCATGACAGTGCCAATTTAATTTAATTGGGCAGTGCTTACAGGTTCAGAGGTTTAGTTCATTGTCATCATGGCAGGAAGC